CTTTTTAACACACCAGTCATGTCCTGTTGCACCCTCTAGCAAGGAAAGGGATGGTGAAAAAAAATGCTACCTTTTAAAAAATAAATAAATAACAAACTTAAACTGCTTGGTGTACTAATGTAGGGTGTGTGCTTGTGTCTATGATCGTGTTGTAAACCTGTTGTCAGTATTTCAGCCCCCTGCCTCCCCCCTTCCTGTGATTTGTTGAACAGTAAATGTGTGTCTGAGATAAATTCTCCAGCTGATCCAGAGCTGCATCATGGCTGACAAATGAAACCAGCATCTCTGAACAGGACGAAAAATGAGGGGGAGGTGTGGCGAGAGGGAGAGAGGGAAGGTTGAATGAGTAGAAGTGGAAATGGAATCATTTCATTATTCTTCACCACAGACCTTGTGGCAGTCACGGTTTGTTATTGGGCGCTAATTAAAACAGCAACAATCCTAACAACTGGCAGTTAAAGACTTGTAAAAGAGGTGATGGGAAATGAGTTCTGCACTGAGTGCATAAACTCATTCCTAATTCCCCCCTCTAACACCTCTCTTCACTCTTTTCTTTACTCATTAGGAAGACTGAGTGCTGTCGCTGACCACTGCATTGAATGATTGGTAGAAGGGGGAAGAGAGTGCAGATAATGACTTCTTTTTTCTTTAATAGTTTGATTGAATACACTGAGCAACTGACTCATGTTGCATTAAATCTTTTTCTTGGTAGTGGGAGATTGTTGCTTTTTCTTCAAATATCATTAACATTAGCACCATTAAATCCATGCTTGCTGTCAAATTACTTGACATAATTTGTGAAGAAGAAACAGATGAAAAAACATTAAAGTTAGACAATCCTCATTTTCTACAGGCAGTCATGGCTGCACTCAGTGATTAAAACGTAAAGAAAATGGATGTAGAGTTTTACCAGTTTGACGGAGTTTTAGTCAAACTGTTTTTTCCTGAAAATGATCATCAACTTGTATAAAGATAAATAGAAGCTGTTCTGTCTTATTCACCTGACAAAAACATTTTTGATTGATAAAAGTGACTAAAATGTTTTTGTAGCCTGATAGCCAAGATGATGGGCTCAAAGAACTTTCTTCAGTTTCTTCATGCTGCTTATTGCTATCACAGTGATTTTGGTCAGTATTTAAGCCGCTGTCATCCAACCAGTTTGAACACTGAATTTCAAAAAAACTTCTTTTGAAAAGTAGATTGTACATGAATGCTAAAATTGAATTCAGCAACAAAAGCCAGGTTCAATCTATTTTTCTTATCAAATCAAATCAAATCAAGATTTATTTCTATAGCACATTTTAAAAACAACATCAGTGTTGACGAAAGTGCTTCATAATCATCCAAAAAGAGAATGAAAGGTTAAGAACAAAGCATTAACAAGCAAAACAGATCAACAAACAACACAGTGACAAACATAAAAAGCAAGCCGGATTATAGCCAAACTCGTTTGAATTTACTCTTCTGAATAAAAACAATTGCATAACATATAAATACATAAAGCCACTTTTAGCTGTTCCCAGTTACAAGGGGATACCACAAAGGGTAGCTCTGCATGTCTGAACTGGCAGACTTTTATGCCTTCCTGACGTATTGCCAAAGGGGGATCTGTGTCTCTTGCTAGAATTGAACCAGTGTGATTTGATTAGATTAACTCTATTACAGAGTGATTCAAGTCTATATTCAGTGTAGCTAAATGTACTGAATGAACAGATTTTTCCATCAGTGGATTACTTTTTCTTTTTTCTTCCCTTGCATATTCCAGGACGACAATGACAGAATTGATTGTGAAAGAATGGTTCAGGGACCATAAAACATCATTTTCACTCAATCCTTGGCCACAATTGAGTCCAGACTTCAACGGCATTGAGAATCTTTGAGATATGCTGCAGAAGACATTATGCAGCAGTCCAACTCTCTCATCATGAATACCAGATCTCGGGGGTGGGGGTGTGGGGTGGGGGGGTAGGGTTAGGGTTAGACTGCAGACTGTGATGAGACCATTGACAATGCTGACTGGTTGAAAAGTTGGTTTTTCAAAAGGAATGTGAACACCAGCACGTTGACCACGTCAAAGACTCACTCATAATGTACAGACGAGTAACCCAAACAGTGGTTGCAGTCTGCAGGTGGCATTATTTTAACACAGCTTCAGGTTTCTGCAAAGAAGTTCTTTATGTTGTATTTTCTCTCTTCTCAGTGGCAGAGGCTAAAATGAAGAACCAACTACAGCACAACCATGAATTAGAATACACTACTACATTTTTGACACTAACCCCTGCTGTTATTATTCATTATTGGGTTGTCATAATGAAAGGAAAGTAAAAAGTAGGTAGTTTTTCAAAAAAATACATTTTATCTGACATATTAGTAACAACTACCAGTAACTACAGAATACAGAAGTGTGACCAACAAGAAAAACCTTTTAGAGGTATTCACAATGTCTTTACAATTTAACTTCAGTGCACAGGCCTTTGTAGTGGCTGATGTTGATGTGAACAGGGACTCCAGCGATCCTCAATGCAAATTCTGTTCTCTGTGCGTCAGCCAGCTTAGGCCATCATAAAATAACTTGATGGATAAACAGTCTAAATAAATAAATAACAACACTAGAGCCCCCCACCCCCCTTTCCGATCTCACTGCTCTTATGCCTCTTCTCTGATGGATTTGTAAAATGATATAAC